CCGTCAAGCGGATAAGCAAAATCGTGAATCGCTTCCTCACACCCAGCTGACAATCAGAAGGAACAAGCACGACCCAACGACAGCAGCGTACTCGCTTGCTCTGGCGATATCTTCGCGCTTTCAAGGCTGATACGATGCCTGACTTAGACTTGCACCACCAATGCACCCTACCACTGCACTCTACTCAAGGCCACACGTACTCGCGAGTATTTGCTCGGCTCAACCTTGGCAACAACAAGTTGGAGCCCGAATTTAATTGGAAACCGCGAAAGTTGACTCGCTCTGTTAATCTGCGCATGCGCATGCGCTGTTGGTGTTGGTGTTGGTCTCGCTTTAGCCCTGTAGCGATGCCGTACCCTTGGCCCGAGGATGTGCGCCTTCTGCTGGCTGCAGGGGGCTTGCAAGCTTGCGCGCGCGCGGGGAGCACCGACCCTGAATGTGAATCAAAATGCCACGAAAATCAACACGCGCGATCCAAGCAGACGTCCGCAAGGGGGCCCCTTGCTGTGAGATTTGCTGCTTTGCATTACTCCGACTTTTAAAATTCCAGCAACTTTTTCCCATCTTGCACCGAAGCGCAACTATTTGCAACCGACGAATTGGCACGAATGCACATACATGTGCACATGCAGTGGCCGATTGGACCTCCAGCGCAGAGTCAACAGCGGGCGGGTTTCTCATGCCTGGAAGAACATTCTAGAGCATCCTCGAGAATAGTGCACGCGGCAAGCCACGACGTACCCTCGCAAAGGACTGGCGGCCCACTCCGATTACGAAATGTACGATTATTTTCCGATACACTACTACTCGCGCTCATCAGACTTACCTTGCCAGTTCGCTCGCGATTAAGTAATGATGTATAGCAAGTGAAAATGCTCCGCAACCGCTGGTCCCTCTCAGCATCTTTTCAGAAAAGTGGTGAGACCGCGTCCAACGAATCTGTTTCCGACGGCCAAGGCCGATCGCTCCCTCGTTACTGTACCGTCTCGCCAGATTATACGAGGCGCAGGGTCGGAGCTACCTTATGCACCGCCCCTTATCAAATCCTAGGTTCACAATCTCTGCTCGCGCGTCTTGAGAATAGTCAAGCTCCATCCAGCTCAACAGTATTCAAACATATCATTCGGCCAGTCTCCAAGCCTAGCAAGCTCGTTTCGCAAAAGAATCTGAGGAAGGCGGAGAAGGAAAGGCGAGAGAACAGAAGGCTTAACAGATGAGGGGAACAAGACCGGACGCTTGGAGGGAGGGGATCAGCGCGATGAGTAGGATCAGCGTCCCTCTCATCATGGCGAAGTGCTTCACAGCGTTGGAAGCGTTGGCACAAGAACAAGGGACGGACGTTTGTCTGACTCTCGAGAGATTCAGAATGACCATGTCAGAGGGACTGTAGGGAGGGAAGCGCGTGACCGTGTAGCAGAAACGAAGTTCGTTGGACAGTGTTGCGTCCGAAAGAACACAGTCCTTCCGAACGGCAAATGCTGAAGCATCGCACCGAAATTGATTGGGCACGTTGCGCTTTCTAATTTCGCAGGAATCCACCCTTCTTCTTTGAGGCCTGTTGGTACTGTGAACGAATCGGCTGTCTGGGTTAGCTGCTTCCCAAAAGGCGCGGCTTGCGCATCAGAATACTTACACCTTGCTTCTCGGGAGTCAATGGACGACCACTCTCCAGCCGCCTCTTCTTGTCCTCCAATTCGAGGCGCTGCTTTTCCAAAGCGTCGCGCATTTCCCTGTGACGAGCATACAGCTCTTCCTCGCTGTTGCAATTAGAGTGGAAGGGACGAGAGGGTGAGCAAACGTGCCCGCATGTCGTTTATGCAAGCAACACGCACCTCTGCTTCAGCTTGGCCTCCTTCTCTGCGACCTTTTGCTGGAAGACGAGCTTCATCTCGTTCTATTGCGGAATCAAGGGGCGATGATGTCAGAGCCAGGAATGAGCTGTGCTCCGAGGCGCACGAGTGCGACTCACCTCCATCTTCGCGAGCTTGGCCTCGTGCAAGGCGCGCTCCTCGGCCATCTTCGCAGCAGGGTTGACCTCCTTGAAGACCGAGTGGTCTTGCGTGACACCCATTCCAACCAGCTTCTCGGATCTGTACTTCTCGTACAACGTTGTGTGAGTGTGCTCCTTGAGCTCTTCCATGTGGCTGCGAATAAGCATTTGGCGTAGCTTCACGAAGTCGCAGTGGTCTTCGTTGTCGACCTCGATGACACCCCAGGGGTATCCACGTCCTCGCACACGACGTCCATCCGCCGTGTCAACCTCAGTGTCCGACCCAACAATGGCGAAGGGAATCTTGCGCTGGAATCGAGAAGGCGCCATTCGTCAGCGACAGCCTTGAATCATTGTAGCTCCCGTGGAGTTTAGGGAACTTCGTGCAGCAGGCTTCTTGACTCTCAAGGCAAGCGTGCGTCGCACGCCAGTTAGAAGCGAGTTGCTCAAGCTACTCACGACAATCTCGTCATTCTCCGCAATGGTCTCCTCGTCCTCGTTGTCATAGATGGGCGCATAGAAGATTTGGATCTGGTGGTGGTTGATGTCGGCCAAAATTCTCTGCTTGAAGGACAGAATCTCCTCGTCTGTCAAGGTGTCGCTCTTAGCGATGACGGGGATCAGGTTGACTTTTTGATGGAGTCTGCGCATGAATTCGATGTCGATAGGGCGCAGACTGCAAGGTTGGATGACAGAAGTCGAGTGAGTGACGAGGGCAAGCGTGCGGTCCCAGCTTGTCGCCATGTTCACCGCATCCTTCTACCATGCTCATCTGATCTGTACACTCACGCGTGACCAGTTGGTTGAACGAAGTACAAGCAAGCATGGACGCGGTTGTCTACCAGCTTGGCGCGGTTGACGCGGTTCTCCTGCTCGAGGTACGCGTCAAAGCGAGATTCGATGTTGTCGACAATGGGCTTCCAGCTACGGGTGATCGCATCCAGGGATGTGTGAGATGATTCAAGACTGCAAGCTATGGATGCATACAGCGCGACTCACCTCTCATCGTTGTTCACAAAGTCACCAAACCCGGGAGTGTCGACCACAGTGAGACGGAGACGGACGCCGTTCTCGTCAATGTCTACGAGGGGTTCACGCCGCGTCAGGAAGTTCGGCCATTGATGGGCAGTAGAGCGGCCAAGACTCACCTGCGCTAATGCTTTCGATGGCGACAGTCTTGGGACGCTCTGCGTGAGGAGGTGGGATTTCCTTTCGGGGATACAGACGGGTATTGAAAAGCGTGTTGATCAAAGTGCTCTTTCCAAGACCGGATTCGCCTGTGCGCAAGTGACCACGGCAATGATCAGCACGACGTTAGAGCCAAGAAGAAGGGCACTAGACAGAAAAGAACTGCATCCAGGCACGACCGAATTTGGTTGCGCGGCAGCGTCCGATGTGATCGTATCAACCTGCTTCAGCCTTCACCAAAAAACAGAAGCGCGCTCCCAAAGCACCCAGCCTACTCTGTGCCGTCGAGAAGCTTCCAGCACGATTAGAGGCCGGCAAGGCCGGAAGACCGATCCACGCGAAACGGCGTCGTCAGAAGACTGCAAAACGCAGAGCGACCACTATCACCACCGTGTGCCTCTCGTTCACGACGTTTGCACACCAAATCCCATCGAACATATCGCCGCCCAGCCTGAAGCATGGAAGCGTAGGTACCCACCAACGACCATAGCAGTAAAGTTGAAGCCTTTGCGGACGCTCTTCCTATGCACTTGGTTGGGCAAGTTGGCAAATCCGACGTAGCCATTCAGCTTCTTGCGAGCAGGAGCAGCAGCTCCATTTGCGGTGATTGTCGACATGTTGCAGGTTGTGTCAAGCGCGAGTCGATAATGGTGCGGAGCTAGATGATTGCGTGGGATTGGTCAAGTGCGTGTGAGGAGCTGGCGCGATGAGCTAGCTGCTTCGATCGCTTCAGGATGCAGAATGATCCCTCTGAAAGATTTCGCAAGGTAGCGAAGACCTCGTAGTGATCGAAGTTGGGTAGACTCGGGAATGGGAAAAGGAGGATGCTGGATGGGGAAGCACGAATGGATAGCTCGATCAGTCTGGATGAGAGGAATTGAATCAGAAGAGTCAGCGAGCCCAAGGAGGTGCGGTGCGATCACTCACGACTGACACTCCACGACTGATGCAAAGGCCCAAGTCGCGCGGATCAAGGACGGATGCTCTGCTCGCCCTAACTGACGACTCTGACTATGGCTGCTATACAACTCAAGACTTCCTGGCTGGCGCGTGTGCTGCTCCGATGGCAGCGCGAGCAGCAGACCATGCAGGCATGACGACCGACACGGCCGCCGCGACGCTGCGCACGTACTGTACACGCGCCGCAAAGCTGGCTGGCTGGCAGCTTCAGCAGCAGCACACTCAAAATTCACGCTATCATCGCCTCGCGCTCGATAGGGTGCTCGCGCCCGCTCCAGCATCCGCGCGCGCGCGGGTGATGCGCTGCCAACATCCGTGCATGCATGCATGCA